CACCACCAAAAAACACCAACAAATCGCACTATATAGTATTAACCACGATACACGTCAGCTGCAGTAACGTTATGACAATCCTGTCACTGGTACCCACGAGCAGATAACTCTCCGGATGACGTCACGAAGCTCCGCCCACATGCGCAATATCCTATCTTCAGTGTGTATGTATCGTGCATCCACGGTTGGTGCTTCCTCTGATTGCAGACCACTGTCGTTATCGTTTGAACTGGAATAGAGAACGGTAACATTGGGAGGCAGAATGGCACCATGTCATCTTCAGCGACGAATCGCGATTCTGACTAGGCACGCACGATGGTCGTAGAAGGGTAAAACGGCGTGATATTGGATTTGCTGTTGAGAGGCATGTACACAGGACTTTTGGAGTAATGTTTTGGGGGATTTAAATCACATCGAACATATGAGGGACATGATGGTGAGGAGACTATCCACTTTGCACCAACCACCTCAGACTCTGCCACAGCTAATCCACGAAGTTCGAGTTACTTAAAATAAGGTGCCACAACGAGACATCGATCATCTTATTTCATCGATGCCTACACGTATACAGGAGTGTATTCAGCAGTGGGCACGCCCAATATATTATTATTTTTTTCTTATAACTTGTCGATAAAATTTCATAAGAATGTTATCGTTTCATTCTTGATGTAAGACTACCTCATTGCCAAAAGATCAAGTTGAAGAAATTATTTTTTCTGGGTGTAACACTTCTAATGTTACTGAGATTGAAGAACTTGATTAATAAGAATATTTTGAAACGCTTATTTGAGAAAGTACCTCATCATTTCCATTTTCATATTTTTTGAAATCAATCTATTCCAGCCAAGTACGTTATTACACATATTACACAAATTATTTTCGAGATCTTCTTACTTCCTACGCCACTGGCGAGGGAGTATTGTAATCGCGAAAAATTTGAAAGATGTTTTTTTGATATACCTAAGCCGTGAGAAACGCAAGTAATCCATCAAATCTGTGTGAAAATACAGTTAGCTCAGTGCAACAGGTGGAAATCGCATTGTATGCAACAGACACCTCATTAATACTAGGTATTATAATAGTTAATTGTCAGCATATGCTTAGTTATCTTAATTAAGTTAATACTAATACAACGAAGCTCACCGGTTCAACAATGCTACAATCATGTCTCAGTTTCTTTCACCATTCATTATTTTTCAAAAGAATCTTGCAAAGAAAAAAATAATTCCTTCTTATGCAGCCACACTAGTTTGGGTTGAATCAAATTCCTTTAAGGTCATTTCTAAGTACTTATTAAGCATCGAGCTTCATAACTTCTCTGAGTTTCATCATTTGTCAAAATTGTTTATCCTTAAAGCGAGTACGTTTTACCTCTAGTTAAATAAATTCTATCTCAAACTGAACTAATTTCCAGGCTTCGCCCCAGACAAACTGTCACTTGACTTTTGTTGTTGCTGCAATGTGTATTATGCGGAATTATTTCAAGGTCAATATATTGAATTACGAGGATTATGCCTAAAGTACGCATCTTTCTTTAAGCGACAATTTTCAGCAAAAAATGCATTCTGAAAAAATCTGGCTTAAATTAAGTAAAAATTGATCGACCGAACATCATGGTAGGTAAAATTCGTCAGGATGAACGACATGGTCCGAAAGTTTCACAACCTACTACGAGCCCTGTCTCAATGAAACATGATATTTATGAATTTATTTAAGTGCTAATTAAAATGTTATTTCATATACAGGGTGACTTCGAGGTTGAGTCATTTATATTAACAGTGAGTAGATCTGATCAAAAGAAATGTTTTTTTCCTTTACCATTTTTCTGGTAAAATTAAAGTAACAAAGTTATAGCCCTTTGGAAGTTTGAGTACCGCCCTGTCTCAATAATAATATTATGTGCTCGTGTTTGGCGACAACGGATATAATCCGCCTTATCGGTTCATCGCATCGGAAACAAAAAAGCGAAAGAATTTGGAACGATGTTTTTACAATTATGTTATTCAGTTGTATACAGTCAGTGGTCAGTCGGTAACGCGCGAGTGAATAGTGGTGTCTGTTGCGTGGCTCAAACGAAATAAAAAATGGCACATGTTTATGCGGATCGGTTTCCCAATCGAGTGCAACCAACCCCTCGTGCCTTTGTTAATGTAGTACAACGGGGTCGTGAATCAGGTGACTTAAGACCTCACAGGGGACGGCATGCCGGTGCTCCAAGACCTCACGATCAAATACAGGTCCGCACTGAAATACTTGTCGGGAGGATACTTTATAAAACAAGGTAAATTTTTTTTTATTTTTTTTTTATTTTTACACACATATTTTGGTTTATCTTCCTTCTACAATCATTATCTGAAAATTAATGACTCAACTTCAAAGTCACCCTGTATAATATTTTTGGATTCTTTGAATGTTCATGGAAAGATAAAAAACCGACGCGGCTATTTTTGAAGCATTTTTATTTCGAAATTGTCTTCTTTGCAAAATACATGATGGATACAACTTAAGTTGAATGGTTTGTTTATTCGCTTCGATAAAATAAAGGTAGGCTCTGTAAAACAAATGATTACATTTTATGTAGCAGAAGCTAATTTTTGACGTTTAAATAAACTTTCAATGCATTGGTGATGTTGTTAACAATTAAAAATGGCCGTGGTGAAGCTACTTATGACGAAAAAAGAAAATTGATCATTCAATTGCATTTAAAAGGCGAAAATGCTTCCCAAATCGCTGACAGTTATGTGGCTCAAAAACCCAGAACTGGAAGTCGCCTGCGTTATTCCAAAACCAATTTAAGAGCCTTAAAACTGATTATCAAGGAAAATCGGCGTGCTGGTTATAACAACTTGTCACAGGCCTGCCCAAAAACTGGGATTCCAAACTTACAAGGTAGGTTTAAATTATTTTTTATTATTCGTTTTTAATTCAGTATTTCTAGTCAAAAGAGAAGCCCTTACTGACCAAGATTCAGAAGAAAGACAGACTAGCGCGGGCCAAAAAACACAAATTATGGTCTCCGAACCAATGGAACTCCATTATTTGGAGTGATCTAGCCAGATGTGAAGTATGCGCTGGTGATAGTAGGAATCGTGTCAAAACAACTAAAGAGGAAGTGTTTCAGAATGACTGTCTTAAAAAAAAGTTAAGCCGGAAGCTTCTGTAAATACCCCAAATTGAATAAATGCGTTTAAACAATATTCCAACAAGATGGTGGCGCTTGCCATATGGCTGAAAAGGTAAAAGATTTGATGTTAGAAAGCAATATTTCAGTTATAAAATGGACTTGGAGTGGTCAATATCTATCGCCGATTGAAACCTTGTGGCATACCATGAAGAAAAAGCTCCAATCGAATCCCGCAAAAGCGCTAGAGAATTGCTAAACCGTCTCCAAGAAATTTGGAACATTTGGAACACCAAATGACTGCCAAGCATCAGTTGTCACTTTGTCAAGACGTAGCGAAACAGTAATCAGTCAAAAAGTCGAAGACGCAGTGGTGATTTGCTGCTATTTGGTTTCGTTGATTTTTATTAATCGGCAGTTTTTGCATTTGTAAGATATTTTTGCTTTGTTACAAAAATTGTAGTATTTTAGGCTAATAAAGGGTTGTCCAATAGGGACGCAGGAAAGTAAACTTCAATTTGACATAGACGCCATCTTTGTTTTCTGTCACCGACATGTCATTTTGTTAGTTGAATGTTTACCATTGATCGCTGTGGAGTCGTATTCGATTGAAGACCGCATTAAAGTTATTCAAGAGCACTACAAAAATGGTGCAAAAATAAAAAACACGTTTCGCGCGCTTCGTGAACATTTCGGTCGCAACAACCGCCCAAACGAAACAACCATCGGTCGTCTGGTGCGTAAATTCGAGGCGACAGGTTCTGTGGCAAATCTGCCAGGCTCTGGCCGGCCAAGGAGCGTTCGCTGTTGTGAAGGAGAGTGTGAGAGACGATCCGAAACAATCAACAACGCGTCGATCCCAAGAATTGGGCATTTCGAGAACGAGTTTGCTCCGCATTCTCCACAAGGATTTGAATGTACACGCCTACAAGATCCAATTCGCGCCGAACGTTCTCAGATTGGCTCCTTGAACACCGCCAAATTGATGCCAATTTTTCATCAAAAATCATGTTCAGCGACGAAGCGCATTTCACTTTGAATGGGACGGTAAACAAGCAAAACTGCCGCATCTGGGCGAACGAAAATCCCCGTGAGTATCCTCAAAAAATGACTGTGTGGTATGCATTGTGGTCAAAAGGCATCATCGTACCTTACTTTTTCGAAAATGCGGCCGGGGACACCGTTACCGTTAATTCTGAGCGATATCACGTGATGATAGAGGACTATTTTTTGCCGCAACTTGAAGGAATGGATATGGACGATGTTTATTTCCAACAAGACGGTGCAACATGCCACACAACCAACGTCAATATCCATCGATTGCAGTCCTTCTTCGGTGATCGCGTGATTTCGCGCAGAGGAAATGTGCCATGGCCACCAAGATCATGCGATTTGACTCCCTTGGACTTATTTTTATGGGGATATTTGAAAAGCAAAGTCTACGTCAACAAACCAGCCACCCTCCAAGAACTCAAAAACAACATCATTGCCGAGATAAATGCCATAGAACCGACCATGTTGCAAAATGTCATTGAAAATTTCGACCATCGCGTGGACGTCTGTAAATCCAGTCGTGGTGAACATTTGAGCGATATTATTTTTCATACATAAATGGTATAAATGAACCTTCAAAATAAAGTACCCAACTTTGAATATCAATCTTTCTTATTTTAATATGCGTTTACTTTCCTGCGTCCGTTTTGGACAACCCCATATTAAATAAAAATATCGTATGTTATCACAAATACATTTTAGGTTTTAATACGCTTCCGCTTATATGACAAATGTCATAAGAAATCGTGGTTTGATAGTCGGGCCAACTTCACTGAGACAGGACTCGTGTGTCAAACATGTAGAACGGATAAAAATCTGTAATTACCTTCGACTAAACTCACATTATGGTCTTCGGTCATCCTGCCGGAAACTTCCTCTTGAACCCCATTTTCAACTCCGTTCCTCGAACGCCCTTGGCCACTATTGTCTTTGCACTTCCCAACACCAACTGTATCTCCATTTTTATGCTTATCTTGACCCTCACTATGCACCAGTCCCGACCCAAGGAAAAGCAGAAGCAACAACAGAACCGCGGGGTACGTTCGTATCATGATCAAGTCTAAGTCGGAAACGAAGCCTAGCCTACCACAATCTATGTTACATTTCAGCGGACTTTCCTCGAACGTGTTGGTTTAACAGTCGCAAACACCGTCGACGCTACGGTTGACTGTTTCCGTCTCTTCTACTTCTTCAGTATGCGCGATGGTCCGCCGTTCTTTCCCCATTCAGCATATTTATCCCCGAGAAAGGACTGAGGACCACGCGCTGTATAGACCAGTAGATTTCAGCCGATTCAAACGATGATGGCCAGAACGCTACAGTCGATGGTGATCGGTATAGAGCCATGATTACAAACTTTTTCATTCCTGAATTGAACATCATGATGTCCAGGAGCTGTGGTTCCAACACGACGGCGCAACATGTCACACAGCTCGTGCTACAATCGATTTATTGAAGGACACGTTTGGTGACCGCCTAATTTCACGTTTTGGACCTGTGAATTGGCCTCCAAGATCTTGTGATTTAACACCGCTAGACTATTTTCTGTGCGGCTATGTAAAGTCATTGGTCTATAAGCCACAAACGCTCGACCTTTTGGAAGACAACATTCGCCATGTTATTGCCGATATACGGCCATAAATGTTGGAAAAAGTCATCGAAAATTGGCCGTCCGGATTGGACTACGTCATATGCCAGAATTCGTATTTAAAATGTAATGCCACAAGATTATCTTTCGAATAAAAAAATGCATGTCAATCGAATAATCCATCGTTGTTTTATTGCAATTTAAAGTTCTATACCTCTAAAAAAAACACCCTTTATAATTGAAAACAAAAACACTAACTTGGTATTTAACAACCAGAAAAATGAGTGTTCAAACAACTGGCCTCAGAACTGGCCAACTACTAAGAAGCAAAACAACCTAAATCTGAAGACAACGTGTCATTATTGACACAGGATTTGGACAAAGAAATTAACTTATTCTCTTTTTTCAGGTGAATTTGTTAAAAACGGATAGTGGGGTATCTATTCCTAGAACTACTACTACTACTAAATGATAAAAATTTCAAAATGATTGCACTGCTTTAAAGCCCTTTGATCTTTAATTATGTGTGGATGCACCTTGATGTGCTACGCATTCTCCAACGCGCCTAGGCATGCTTCTGATCAGGTGGTCAATGTCCTCCTGTGGTATCTCATTCCAGGCAACCACCAACTCCTCTCGAAGTGCTTCTAGAGTCTGAGGAGGACGTTGCAAATTGAGCAATCTCCTACCCATCATATCCCACACGTGCTCAATTGGGGATAAGTCGGGAGATCTTGGTGGCCATGGTAACAATGTGACATCATTATGTTGAAAGAAGTCTATTGTGACTCTTGCAACATGTGGTCGGGCATTGTCTTGTTGGAAAGTTGGATCTGCCAGGGTGTCAAGATAGGGTAAAAGATGGGGTTCTAGAACTTCGTGGATATAACGATGCGCGTTCATGTTACCTCTGATGAAGATTAAAGGTGACCTGGAACCATAAGCTATAGCACCCCAAACCATAACTCCAACAGTGTGATGAACATGTCTTTCAACAAAAAACTGTGGATTCCTCCTTTCACCACGTCGCCTTCTAACCCTGGCACGACCATTGTGCATGCCTAAACAAAATCGAGACTCGTCACTAAAGACAATACTGTTCCATTCCTGATCCCAGAGTCACCGTTGTCTGCACCACTCAAGGCAATTACGTTGGTGTTCTCGAGTTAAAGGGAGGACCCAGTGTGGCCGGTATGAAAACAAGCCAAAACTTCTCATTCGTCGGTAAACACTTCGCATGCCAATAAGTCTTCCGTGTTCTGCAAACCATTCATTTGCAATGGACCTGGTAGTGGAGAAACGGTCCCTTAAGGCCAATAATCTTAGGCGGCGATCTTCACGGTCTGTTGTTCTACGGCGGCGTCCAGTGCCCCTTGCTCTTTGCGTACGGCTTTCTCGAAGCCATGCCTGACAACAATTAACCACAGTGTCTACACTTCTTTGCACTCTAACTGCAATTGCCCGAAAAGAAAGTCCAGCTTCCCGAAGTCCCACTATACGGCCCCTATCATACTCGCTAAGTTGACGAAATCGTACAGGTCTCCGTACTCTAGGCATCGTAACCGATAGTAAAGGATGTCAAGAACCAAAATCCGCCAACGTTGATTCTTTACTGCGGCTGAAATATTCATTTTTAGAGCGTTAGTGAATTAAAAAAAAAACAGTATAAAAACCGGAATGTCCAACTGATAAGGCTGAAAATTTTTTCACTTGTTATTTACAGTAAGATAAATACATTCACCAACTTTTATTAAAATAAAACCATTTAAACTCTGTGTTCGGATTTATATGTCACTTAGTATACATAAAATAATTTCCATAAGAATTTTATTTTAAACGGGTATAACACTTTGAAGACATAAATCTTTACATGATAATTAATTTTTTCATGACAACATAAAAATTGATGAAATTATTGAGTCTCTTGTTGAAGTATTTTGAGATCCAATTCGGGCCTGGATCTCTTCAGTTTGTTCCATTTCAGGTCCATTCTCAAAATAATCGATAGTGTCATTCTGCTTTGAGCACATGTAGTGTGTGATGTGTGGGCATGTGTATCTATTTTTGTAGTTTCATGTGTGCATTCATTTCGGGCCTGATGAAGCCAACCAGCAGAAATACGTATCGCTCGGGTTACCTATCCTATTTTCTGCTCGAATCCACTTTCCTCCTTTTTGCGGATTTTGCCCATTATTTTCCTACTTGTTGTTATATACCTTTCTCCGCATGATCATATTATATATATATATATATATATATATATATTATATGTCAAAATTCGTAAAGTAGCTTTAACGACGTACTGTCGTTAGATGCACGAGATTATCAAGACTCAAACTGGTGTCTGTTGACTTTTTTGAAATTATACGCACAAATCAAAATTATTTTATTCCTAATTCTTCGAAATATTTGCGGATAATCAAAATGTGTGAATTAATTTTGAAACTTGTAGTCGGTTGCTATGTTAGGTATTTCTATAATCGTCGCCAACATTTGCCTAACAACTTACTACCAAAAAAAGTCGTTTACCAAAACTTTTATGCACCACCTAACCTTCTTCACTTGATATGTATGAACGTTATGTTTCTAATCATGGAGTAAATTAGATCACCTGTGCATTTTAAACTGTATCTATGCTTTTGATCACATTAGGGCTAGGGTACTATTTTTCTCAGATACCACATGGTTTCTAATTGGTCTAGCAGTGTCTCTGAGTCCAAAATTCACTTGGCAACGTTGTATTTATAAGCTTTGAAGAAGTAATTTGCGTTTTCAGCGATAAATGGAGGTTTGAAAATGCATAATATGCATTTTACTAAATACAATAAAATATTGCTCAAACGGTCATTCCCAGCTTATGCATATGACTCTTTTCGACGAAGCCTTGTTGTCGACAGTTTCGGTAATGAACTATAACTAGGAGAAAGATTAATTTCAAAAAAAAAATAGCAGCCCGGACTTTTTCTTTAGCTCATCCATCAGCGCTTGATTAGCTCTTACTTGCTGACTAAAAATGTTATTAGAAATATCAATCGTTTTTGATGTAGGATTCATGCGCTACTACAGTATATTCAGATAAGAGATAGACCGGATGTAAACAAAAGGTTCGGGTGATTTTCACGCTAACGCCGCCGTCTCGACGTAAAACAGGAGCCATCATTGGTCAATTCGCAATTAAATGCCTATGCCGAGCGGCAGAGCAGTCGTATCAAGGCAGAGTCACATTCAGGTTCAGACGTGTTACGTATGTCGTGTGCATCATTGCAATTTGATATTTCTTTGGACGTTTTCGTTTGTTATCTTATTAAGTTGTTGAGTTTGTCGTTGTTATTGTTATACCTTGTTATTGATTGTTATTGTTATCAACTGCTTGCGCAAAATGCAAAGTAGTACAGATACTGCCGATGAGGTTGTAAACTCCTGTAGTCTACCTAGGAAACGCTCTAAAAAAAGACACCTGAGTGCAGAAATGAAAGAGGTCATTTTGAATATATATAAGATCGAGCGCGAGGAGAACGAGGCATCAACCATCAAAGAAATTGTTGTGAAGGTTTCTCACAAAGTTGGGGTGTGTCGCGCATCAGTGTTTAATGTGTTAAGACAATACAAAAAAATCACACCTTTTCTGAGCCAATGACCAGTAAACCGCAAAAGTATTGTTAAATCATTGGATAAAGCTGATAAGCATGCGATTAGGAGGAAAGTGCATGAATTCTTCTTTAGGAATGAAATACCTACTATAGATAAAGTACTGCAGGAGGTAAATGGAGATACAACGTTGCCAAATTTCAAACGATCAACTTTCCATGCGTTACTGAAGCATTTAAATTTCAAATGGAAAAAACGGGGTCGTAATAGTTTACTACTGGATAGAGAAGAAATTATGCTATGGAGGAGGAATCAAAACAGGAAGATTTATTACCTTGATGAAACGTGGGTAAACGCAGGACACACTACAAGAAAAGTATGGGTTGATGATTCTGTAACTTCATCCAGGAGGGCCTTTCTAGATGGACTGTCCACCGGATTAAAAAATCCAGCAGGTAAATACGAGTAATAGACAACAATCGGATGTTTTTCAAACCTTGGGAACAAGGTTCTAAACATTAATTCCAGGGGGCAGATAAAACATATTACAAGTAACAAAACTTTTATAACTTTCGATAAAATGCGTGGATGTTTTATTGTCATTTTCATTTGTTAGAACTTTTTTAAGGCATGTTTTTATGTGTTTTCGATATTTCAATAATTTTTTAATATAATCTTAAAATATGTCGAATATTATAAACTTAAAAAAAGTTACTAAGTTTTATATTGTGTACCGTTCCTAATATTTCGAATCATTTTAATTCATACTTTAAGCTTCATAAAGTTATAATTTGTTAATATTAATATTTGCGCGTATTTCAGGCTCCTGATCATTCATTTTTTAAAGGTTTATAACTTTAAATTAAATTGTGAAGCGCTGAGTAATCATACGACGTTCAATGTTCTTTCTTTCAATATGACTAAATAATCCCAATTATAGCAATCTGATACTCATGTTTCAATGTTTTTTCGCTGAATGTGATGAAAACATTTGAAAA